CCCCCTCCACAACCCATCCCCCCACCACGACCCAACCGCCTGCGCCGAGGCGAGCCGCCCGGCCCCAGACCAGAGCCCCTGCGAGGTAGGCAAAACGGTAGAAAAGTGCCTCCCATACTACTTCCCTCCCCTCTTTCCTATAGCACCTATCCCACACCGTTGTTGTTGCTGCTTTTGTTTTTATTTTTACTATTGTTTCTGTTCTTATTCGTGTTTTCCCTCCGCTATTGACATTACAGTAAAGAGTTTGAATCATTTTTATTAATAAGAGGAGAATGACGTCCTTGAGCCCGCTTTTTGTTTTATTCTTTGTTGACTGTGAGTAAACGCCAGCTCGAGTCGAGTAGTACGGTTGGTCTTTTCATAGCAGCCCTTACAGCGCTGCTTTCAAGGCTCGTCTTGTGATTTCCCGCTGACTTTCCCGCCCTACGACGCCTTGTTCCGTCATAGTGTGAGACTCGCGGCGAACGAACGGCAGATAATCCAGCTAGTCGAAAAGTGAGGCCGAGTAGGAAGTGGGGCGAAACCGAGTGAGGCCGAGAGAGGGCGAGTGAGAAAGCGCAGAAGTGCACAAGCGAGGAGGCTTAGACGCTTTCGCACTCGGCTTCTTCACCCGGCGTCACCCGGTGTCGCCTCGCCACTCAATCGTCCTCACTTTCCGACTTTAACTGGATATCTTCCCGCTCCGCCGCCAGACACGAGTGTCGCAGAGGGACGCGCGCGCAGCGCAGCACGCAACGGGCACGAGATCATAGTCGGTCGCCGTGTTTGCTCGGGGGCGCCGGGAAACGTCACCGCTGGAATCCCATGATCCCCCCTTGGTGGGGCGGCGGGGTCCTACCCTCGTGCCCTGACGTGCCCCCCCCCCCCCACCTCGGGGACGACAATAAGTGAGCGAGGGGCGGACACTCCACTCCACGTCATCACGGCCGAGCCGAGCCATAGCCTCCAGCCCGCAGCCCATCCCTCCCCATTGCCCCCTGTTCCAAAAAAAGGAACAAACAACCACAAAAGCACTCAGCCCCACAATAAAAAAACAACCCCTTGAGGCCCTCAGCCACCTACTTGGCCTGGTGTGCCTGCTGGAGACCACTGTGCCACTCTGACTGCTCCTCCTATTTTATTCAGAAGGAGTTGACGCGCTTTTTGGGGGAGAGTGAGAGGAGGTGAGAGGGAGAGAGGGAGGTGGAGAGAGGGAGGTGGAGAGAGAAAGAGAGATAAAGAGAGAGAGAGAGAGAGAGAGAGAGAGAGAGAGAGAGAGATGGAGAGGGAGAGAGAGATGAGCTGTGGCTCCGGAGAGGGGTAAGGTGGGGTCTGGTCGGTCTGGTGCTCGCGAACAGTGAGTTCGAGCCCGGTCCGGGCTGTGCGGGGGCGATCCGATCGCGGCCGAGCGATGGGCAGTGGTCCGGATCGGATCCAATACCTACACCCGCGCCGGCCGCCGGGGCCAGCAGCCGTCAAAGTACCAAATTGAATGAGACTGTCGCTGGAAACAAAGTGTCCTGTCCGCCCCCGGTCCACCCTTTCGCCCCCTTTCTCCCTCCCCGCCACTCCTCCCCGCTCCCCGGCCGCCACACGGTGACCTTGTGCCTCGGAACTAATTAACTCGTGGAGGTCGGGCTGGGTCGGGCTGGGCCCGGTCGCGTCGACACAAACCTTTTGTCGCGATACATCGATCTCCCGGACGGACGGCAGCAGTCGGCCGCTGCCAGGGGACCCGGGGGACCCGGGGCCAGTATCGTTTTACCTCCCTCCCCCCTACCCTAGCCGCCCTCGTTGTCCAAGCGCCCGCACGCAGCGTCTGTCCCAACACCTTAGCGAGATAGGGAGCCCCGACACAACCCATATGTGATGGAGCCTGTGCCTATACATTTCCCGTACGATATTATTCCACACAGCTTCTTTCCCCATGTTGATTTTTTGCCCCGTTTATGCCACTCCGTCCATCCCAATCCCGCATCTCTCCTGGAGTTCCCCTCCTACCCCCGTCACCAGCTTCTTTTGTTGAGCGTCCGCTTCTCCCCTCCTTTTCTTTTTCCTGTTGTTGAAAAATGATGCTGAAGTTTAGACCGTTCACGCCATATTTTCCACCCCGTCGGCCTCTCTAGCGCCCCCCGCCCCGCCTTTTCGCTGTGCTTGCTGCCGAGCGCTGGACTGCCTTGGCAGGATAGCGAGCCTGTGCATATTTGCACCCTTTCATCAGTTTAGTAAAAGAGAAGCTCTACCGGTTCTAGCTCAGATCCCGCTCCGCACAGCTCCGCATGAGCCCCCTCCCCTCTCCCCCGTTTGTGTTTTTGGGTTATTTGCTCTTGCTCGAATAATTTTCACTCCAAACGGTCTGACGGGCTCCCCGGCTGCCGAGCCCCTGACCGCAAGGCAAGGCGTGGGGCCTGCTCGCTCAAGGTCCGCCGCCCCAGGGCCAAACCCAGGCAGGCCATGCTCTCTCGGACGCCCAATCAAAAGTTTTAATCCATTGTGTAAACAGAGCCGAGCATTGTGTTTCCGGCAATGATTCGGGATGTACACACAGAGAAGGGGGCACGAGCAATAACCGTTCAAAGCCGTTATCACTAATTTACTGGAGTGTTGTCTCTCTAAAGATTTCAATGCTTAACAAACAAATTATCACGGAAAGAGACGAATATATAAGGCTAATAGGTATCGAAGTGGTCCATTGGGTCCATTCTACCGAGCTGGCGGGGGGTGGATCAACAACAAAATAATATGCCATTCAAAAACCGCAAGAAAGGAAGAGAAACAGTTGCATGGTGGGACAGGTTTTCAAAAACTCCACACACACACACAACACGCCAGGAAACATCAGACCGTTTCGTTTGCTATGCGCAGAACTCGCGCACGGGATGATTCAGTACGACCCGCGCGTCCGCCGGGAGAGGGACACTCTCACGACTGCTGAAACGGAAGAGATGAAAATGAAGAAGAGGCACGAGTATACGCCGAGCCGAGGTCGCTGGCTTTGCTGGCAGTGTACAAAGCTCTGCGCTGAAACAACATCAGGGACGAAGGATCATTCCCCCTCTTTATTTTCCTTCCTCGGTACGGCGGCCGCCGCGCCGCGGTCCCCTCCGTACCGCGTGCGCCGGCGCGTGCGCGCGCGTGCGTACACACCGAGGGGGGCAAGGTGCCCTCGACCTCAGCCAGCGGCCACGCAGCGGCCCAGGAAGGAAGGCGAAGGGCCCGTGAAGGTCGAAGGTCACTGTAACGAGATTAGATTTACCTCGGTGGCCTCCCCCTGAGCCGTGACAGCCTGCTCCCCGGGCCGGACCTGCCCCAGGGCCCCCAGGGGCTCGGCCTCCTCGGGCTGGTCCTCGCTGGGCTGCGTCAGCACGCGGTCGCTGAAGGACAGCGTCTTCGGGGACCTGCCGGTGCGGGCGGCGTGCAGGCGGCTGCTGCTGACGGGGGAGAGCGCCGGCACCAGCAGCGGCGGCGGCGGCCCGGCCGACGGCCCGGGCAGCAGCATCGTGGGGCAGCGCTGCCCGCGCAGCTTCTCCTCGGCGTCCATGGCGACGCGGCTGACGGCGGGACCCGCCCTGAAAGCAAACGAAAGATACGAGGGCCGTGTAATTAATCTGAAGAGATTGACAGCGCCAACCCAGGGGGCTGGGGGCTGGGGGCGGGGTGTCTCCCTCAAGGCCTTTGGAGGTGCGCCGCAGGAGCCGCCCCCGGGCCGGCCAGCTCCTGCTATGCTGACGACGCACCGTCCCCCGACCCGCCCGACCTCGGCCCCGACTCCTCCGGGGAGCGTCATTTCATTTGAATACGAATCCCGCGCCATGCCGTGGGGTGGTGATATTGCGAGCGGGCCGGGCCCCGGCCGGGCCCTGACCTGTCCGGGGCCTCGACGCAGGCCTTGGCCCCGAGTGGAGGAGCAGGGACGCGAAGGGGGCGACGGTCTAAATGGACTGGCGCGTGACAGCAGGCCGACGGAGGAAGGGGCTTTCCGCTTTCCGCCTCGGGACAGGCGACCGCAGAGCAGGGCCAATTCTTTTTGGCACAGTTGGCCCGGAGTGGGGTGAGAGGAGAGCCCCCGCTGGGGACCAGGAGAGCAGCGTGAGGCGAGGGAGAGAGGAGGTGGACTGGCTTGCAACTGGCAGGGCTGACACGGCGGGTGGGCGCCGCGGGGGCGGGCCGTGGGAGAGCGGAGACGGCGGCGGAGGCGACTCTGCCCCGCTCTGCCCACCACCTCGACAAGCAATCGCATTAGCAGTTCTCAGCGACGTGGGGTGCGGCGAGGCGGGGTTGTTGTCGTGTTGGCGAAGGCAAAAGCGTCCGCTAATTCCCGGGCAGACTCGCCTACGCTTTTCGTGTTCTTCCTCCCCGCAGCGTGGGATGTTGGTGGGGTGGGTTGGGGTGGCTCGGCGGGGTGGGGTGGGGTGGTCCCGACGGCGTGGGCGCCCCAAAGGCTTATCCCACACCCTACTCGGGCCATCTCCCTCCTGACCCCAGCTATGGCCCCAGCCAGGCCCCCGCCCAGCCGCCGTGGCCCCAGCCGCCCTCCAACACGCGGCGCCGCCACCACCCACACCAGCCCTCCACGCCACGCCACGCCACGCCACGCCACACCGCCGTGCCTCGCGGAGCATCATGAATTATTTGAGGGGCTGGCACAGCGTAAATTTGATGATGACACGAAATGTTGTGCGCCGCAAAACAAATTGCTTGCTTCGCGTCCCTTTCCAACCGCCCTCCCCCCTCCCATTTTTCCTCATCCGCTTTCAGGAGGGCAGCCCAGTCATGATGGCTCGCGTTTATGGGGTCGAGAAAAAGAGAGACTACGCTTCGGGGAGAGGTTATCGTGGGAGGTGGGTAAAAGCCGACCAGCCGATCAACCAGCAAACTGAGAATAATGCCCTTTTCTAACGATCGCTAAACGTCTTCATTATTTTTGTTCTTTGGTATCCTTACACAAATTGATGAATGATAACGATGATACGAAAAGAATTTTCATCGAAGAATGGATCATGGAAGTAGATAAAAAAACAACTGCAGATGAGACCGTGTTCCCTATTCTAATTCGCCCCAATGCCCAAAAATGTTCAGTTTTTAACCGGTGGCACCAATCAAAAAGAGTCAGCTTTACGAATTCATTGCATCGAGACGGGTAAAATTTAATTCACAAAAATTTCGTCCGTTTTAAATTTGGTTCTCTGGACCAAACGGTCTTCCATAAACCCCCATCCAGCGCTTCCCTAGCACTCCTGCAGTGTCGAGCGAGGCTAAACCCGCGGCTGAGCCCGCGGCTCGGTCCTGCTCGGTCCGAGGGGTGGCGGCGGCTAAAGCGGCGGCCGTCGGCCAGGAGGCAGCGCCGGGCGCAGCTGGGGCCCACACAATAAGCACGCTCCACCGAGCGGACTAACGACAGCAGAGACGAGCACCTCGTCGCTGCGATGCAAGAGTGTCCCAGGGGCAGCACCTGGCCCTGCCCCGCGCCGCCCCGCTCTGCCCCGCGCCGCTCCGCCCCGTCCCTCGCCTCGTTCGTCAATGACAAACAATCTCGAAACTACAAAGTCGCACTACTGCGCGCCAAGCAGTCCGTCCCAGCCAGCGAACCAAACTTTGGGTGGACAGACCGAGCAGACAGACGGCGTTTCGTTGTTTGCATGCGCCTCTCTTTGAAAACTGTCTCGGCCTACCCCCCGTGGCCAGGGACGCAAAGTGGTCAGCGGTAGCCGCAAGGCTCCCAGGTAGAGTTGCCGCGGGATGCCGCCACATTGTCAAACTCACTCTACTCCCTACCAACGTTCTATTTTCTTTCGCGGGGCACAAAGACTAACGTGGTTCGCAGTACTCCTGATTCAAATCAATTCTCTCAATTTGCCGTCAAGTGTTCTCTCTGGAAAAACAATAAGTGTCTACCTTGCAGTACCTTCCGCGTACTACATGTATGCAGAAGGTACTGCATTCAAGTACTCACTTAGGTTTCAAGAGATCCGATGGACACTTTTAGGTAGTGAGATGAATTTTCTAAATAATAGGTGGGTGCTTTAAGCCGTCCCTTCTTCTGATTTTACTTGAACCGCATATGCAGGCACTGATCGGCCACCCAGTACGATAGCACCAAGTTTTAAGCATGATTATATCCTTTTCCAGTGCATGAGTCACAGTTTTTTTTTAGGGTGGGGGGTGGGGGTTCGTAGCAAGCAGGGAGCAGAGGAGTGGGCTGGACTGTGAGCCCTTGTTATTGGAGCCAGTTACCCCCTATGTAAGAGGTATACCCTTCGTGTTTGTTTTTACATGCTGCGTGCCTTTCCCCCACGCCCTCCTTCAAACCCCTTCGCTCTTTTTCTGGTCACATTCTTCGTCTCTCCCGTTCTCTCTCGCACATACATCTCTAGAGAGCTAGCCCTTCCTTCCCACCCTCACAGCGAACACGAGAACGCAAGGACATCGATAGGCGTGTGTGTCGTATTGTGGGGTGGGCTGGAGCACAGCGCGTTCCAATGTTGATGAGAAATTAGATCTACACACAAGCTCACTTTTGTGACCCCCC